CGAATAAAAAACTATGCTTTAGTTTTTTGTGATTTTACTTTTATTTTGTTGGTATTTAAATTTATAGTAAATATATTTAGTTTATTTTAGATTTATTTCTAGTAAGATATAAATATATATTGAATTAATGGTATAAAAGTAGATACTAGACACGAAAAAAATATACGCAAAACTGGCGGTTTAAAATCGGACCAAACCGTTAGGTTTAGGTTTGAGTTTTTTTCAAACCGGTCAAAACGGTTTGGTTTAGGTTTGAGCTTTTCTCAAACCGGTCAAAACGGTTTGGTTTGAAATTTTCTCAAAAACCGCAAAAATCGGACCGCTTACACCCCTACAGGGATAAGCATATTTCTTAAAATAATTTGGTTTGAATTGGTAGTTCCGATTCGATTCCATAACTTGGCAAATTGCAAAGTTTTTTCTAGAATTGTTTTTCTTAGTTTCCACTCATACGTGCACAATTTCTTAATTTTTGTGGAATTCATTTTCCCATGGTTTGTGTGGGAAATGGTTTTCCAACTTTTTTTTTTTTACAATTGAAAAAAATTCTAGATATAATAGTAAAAAAAATTATTACTGTTATTAACAATTTTCATATAAAATAAAGTCAAACGAATGGTATTCGGTATGATAATTTTTGGCAATTGGAACCAATTCTAAACCCAATGGTAAAAAAAAAATAACTTTAATTGACAATTTTCATAAAAACAAAGTCAAACAAATACCAAACTTTCAACATTTTTCAAGTGGAAAATTATACTAATCAAACACAATTAATTACAATTTTTAGAAAAACAAATTCTAGGCAATTCAATTCCCCATAATTTATTTTCTTTCCATCCAAATTCCACATTTGCAATCAAACAGACCCTAATATCAAAACAACAAGCTTGATTTAATGCAAACAAAATATCATTGATGGTTGAAACTCATATGCTGATAACAAAAGTCAAAAGTAGAAAAGAAAACCAAACTCCCATTGATCAACTTAATGGACATTGTGGAAAATTGATTCGTCGTCATTTCCATGCAATTTCGCAACATCTTACTCATCGTTGGCGCCAAATATTCTTTCAACCACTTATGACATGTTTGGCGATGCAACAGTGTAAAAATCTTGATCCAATTAGTGAATTAAAAGAGCATCAGTTGCAAATATCTTCGTACTAGTTAAACATAAAGGACAATGTTTGTCCTAAGTTCAGGAGTGGTGTCTAAAACTTGTGTAATCTACTTGTGTCATGACTGGTAGTCGAGAACACGAAAAATTTAGCAACAATGAAGTTTTTTACAAAGACTACATGTTAACGATATCGTACACTTGGGGTCAAGTACAAACAAACAAATGATAAAAATAACTTTGCCAACATTTTGAATATAGATGAACAAATATTTTCATGGCTAAGAAGTATCCCAATTCATAATACATAACAAGCACAAGAGAGGACAAATATTACAACAAAATATACAAGAGGGTAGCTTCAGTAGAAAAGAATGATTTTTATGAAATAGTTAATCATGCCTTTATTGAGGAAAAATAGAGGAATTACCACTACCCATTCAAAAGGAAATTGGAAATAATAATCACCGGTATCTTCTTACTGCAATCAAAATAAAAGCTAGTAGCGCAACAGGGAAGGTAGCGCAACAGGGAAAAGCATACCCGTTGTACGTAATAAGAAGTACGAAAGACGGGGAAGTGTCAAAAAATCAAGCACAATGGAATCCTTCAGCAAGAAATCAGCGGCCGCCAAGACTAGCTATTGCATATCTTTTCTCTTAACGAGTAGCAATCAAATAACAAACCTGTCCCAGAAGTGGCAAACATTAGAATTTGGGTTTAAAAATAAAAACGAGGTAGATGATAAGAATGATTGTGCAATTCATACTTCTAGAATTCAGTTCAGCTATTTTGGTTGACCAGATAATTAGACCCATAAAAGCATAATAATAATAATAAGATGTATTCAAATGAAGATGTATTGTCCTCCATGTTTCATGTGCATGCTGTCCTGCGTGAATGCTTATACTGTGATAGTTCATGTTTATCAGAATCGAATTAAACCTAACCTCGATATGATGGGTTCCAGTGATGACGTTCGATTGTTGGAATCAACAGAAGTTAGTAAAAGTACTCTGCTACACCTTGCAAAATTATATAGCAAAATTTAGACATAACCTGGACCTGGCACAGATAAAAAACAGGGATTGAGTAATATTAGACATGTTTCTTGAATATAATTGTACGTGTCATGAACATTTGACTCACCTTAATGTGCTTCCAGGAAAAGAGTATCTCAATTTGCTGTAATGTGTACGATGTACGATTAGGCTGTTTGTACTACCAAATAGACTAGGAATGAGAATGGAACAACCATTGCCTTTCGTACTTCTTTGCAAACTCTTTGAGAAGCAATCTCTCCCGAAATTCCAGATATTTGCTAGTTCCTGCCCACTGGTGGCAAAAGCTTTCATCAGTTGGAACCAGTGAACTCAAAGGAAATGGTCCTTTCGGAGCTTTCTTCAAGAAAACCAAAAACCTATGGCGGGGTCGAATTCGCTGGCCGAGAGACAAGCTTAGGTATGTTGGATATTTGGTCAGGGAATGGACCTCATTTCTAAGTTCATTGATCAAGTACATGTATTTGGGTTCAGATTTCCCTCCAATGATAGAGAGAATACCTGCATGCACAGATGACATCATCTGAGAATTCTATTTAATTGTGACGTCAAGCGAAACAAGATCTACATGAAAAGGTAGAAGTATGGAATCAATTTTGAGGACAAGTTGCTTGAGCAACCCAATTGTAGTTTGAGGTACAAAATCAATTGCACAAGAGAATCCAGTTGACCTGTGTAAGGCTAGTTAACACTTTCAGTATTTCAGAGTTGCACATCCCAATACTTCTCAAGAAATTGATCCTGGGGCATAATCCGTCTTCAATGCTGTAGTGAAGTATTTGAGGGTGTTTCGTGACCATCTTTACTATACCCTCTCTGGGTGCTCTCAACTCTTTTGTCAGAAAATTGAAACGAGTAGTCCATGTATTGTCTATCCGCTGAACCAGAATTTGAGGGCTTAACTGCACAACTTTACTTAGATCATGCTTCTCGATTCCTATCTCCTCGAGAAGGTACCTGACTGTAGGTCTTAAAGAATTATCAGTACTGTAAGAGAACAGGGATGGGGTGGCAGTAATTATTTGCCCTATTCTCGATTCTGGAATGCCCAAGCTTCCTAAAAAGGCAACATGGGACTTCAGATTGTTTTCGACGGTGTAACCCAAAATTTGAGGCTATCTCAAAATTATTTTTCTGATATCTTTATGTTTGACACCAACACTCAACAAATATCCCAATCTTTCCTCTACAGAGTCAACATTTATCTGAAGGGATGGCATATGTCTTTCATACATTTGAATAAAGTGTGATTCCTTAAGACCAAAAGTGCTCAAATAATCAAGAAGTGGAAACCACCTTTCGTCTATGTCTAGTTCTTCTGACAAACGAGAGAATCTTTTCTTAGAACTTTCTGCTTTCTGGAACAATCAGATAAAACAATAAACATTATGGCGGTCATTACCACTCAAAGTCATAGTTTAATGGTTGTGATGATTGTTACCTTTTCTCTGCTATCCCCTAAAGAGGAAATGTTTGCTGATTGCCTGAAAGTGTTATATGAAATGCCTCTCTCTCTCTCTCTCTTTTAAGATATCCTTGCCATTCTTTATACCCAACTTTTGTTGCCTTGTTTCAAGGTTTTGTCCAGAATTTAATGAGCTTGCACCTCCACCTCTCCCCAGATGCCCGTGACTGCCTGCACAATGAGATTTACCTTAAATCGATTAATATTTCTGTATAGGATCCAAGCACCACGAAATCACTAAATTTGCACAAGCACAGCAGAAATCATAACACAGAACACCAGAAATGGTAACAAAGTTAGTTCAAATGGACCTAGTCTGTAGGGTTCAGCGGAAGCCCAAACCTCAGCACTAGAAACAAGTCACAGTCTTGCAACCACAGCAACACCAAGTTCACAAGTATTCACGATGATACAACATCATAACCCTCTCAAACCTCTCAAGAATATACAGCATTCATTCAGTCCAAACACTATGGACTAAGCCTTTAAGTCTATCAGCTAGACCAAACAACATAGACTAGAAAACCTCTAAGAAATGAGATATCAACAGTAACTTCAAAAAAAAAAAATCAAACAATATGGACTAAGCCTTTAAGTCTATCAGCTAGACCAAACAAAATAGACTAGAAAACCTCTAAGAAAAGAAATATCAACAGTAACTTCAAAAAAAAAAAGAGTGAAAAACCTAATCAGACAATATCGCAAGAGAAGAGGATCAAGAAAAATGAGTGAGACTGTTTCAACTGCCCCCCAAAACCCAGTTAATGGTGAATGCAAAAGAATCCCACGTGGTTCAGTTGAGTAGGACCACATTGCCAACATAACTTTATGCCCATGCCCCTTCTCTAGTAATAAAGCGTGGAATGTGAACCACGACTTTACATTCCTCACATAACTCCTCCAATGCTTTGATAATACCCAAAGAATTACAAATACCTTGTTTCATCTTGGTTGAATTCTGTATCTTTAACCTCTGTCTATCAACTTCAGAAATTTTGATGTCTGCAAACTCATTGTGTATCCCAAACCAAAAAAATGACCATCAGACAGTGGCAAACAAATAAACTATATCTAGTTGAATTTCATTGTGGAATTATTATCATTGCATCAGTAACTGATTGACAGGTAACTACCATAGATTTCCATTGACAAAATTACAATGGCACCAGTAATTTGGAGGCCATAAAACATCCTTTTTAAATGATTGATATACAAGACCCTATAATGTCAAGTTCTGCAGAACGTCAGTGATGCCATGGAAACATAAACTGATAAGAGCTCTCTTCTCCCTAAAATTTACAAGTGGATTTAACATGGACAAATGTCAAAACTGTGTCCGAGATACCAATATAGAAAAATCAATTACACTTACCTGCACTACATGCCAAAGTTAATCCAATAATCACTTAATTTAAAAGAGATTCGACAGTTGTCCTAATGTGCACGCAAGTCCATCGTTCGAACCACATACACATAATTTACACTAACAGACAGCAGAACATTGAATATCCTCTTCAATTTGTGATTTGGTGAGTGCACACTATCAAGTAAAGATTGCTATTTTAGACTTGCAATTTTGCATCTGTTTATTTTTCTTTTTACAATAATCCAACATCTTAGTTGAAAACGCTTATTTGCCTACAGAATAACAAATACAATATCTTGTAGAAACCCATTTTATTTCTTTCTTCTGAGCTAAAAGTAGCATAAATATCATTAGAAATAAAAAATAAATCAAATTTGAAAAGAAAAATAAAGAAAGAAACTCACATCAGAAATCCAATCGTCACCACCACTGTCTTCATCATCATCTTCTTCTTCTTTGTCTTCACTGTCGTAAGGAGACACTGGCAGTCCAAACCTGGATTTGCGATTGTGCCTCAGAATTTTGGGGTTGGAATGCGATGACACAACTCGAACCTTCGTACAACATATTCTGATAATTCTTCCTTTAGCCTTTAAATTGAAGAATGAATCCCCACAGAAATTTTGTAGTGAAGTGAAGAAATTGTAAGGAGTGTGATAGTGTGAGAGATTGAATGTGGTAGCAAAGAGCGAGAAAACTGCCATTAATTAGATTTAAAGAAGGGGGAGACAGAGAAGAATATACTCTAAAACCCTAACAATTATCTTGAATTCATCTAATCTTCTTTCGACGTCTGGGGTACTGTTCTGTCAGGACGTCATTTGTAGCGCCAATTCAAGTCTACAGACAGCAATCTTTTCTTATCAAGACCATGTTTGACTGTTAAGACTTACTTTTATTAACGAAAAAAAATGTAAATTTTAAAATAATATCTCGTAAAATAATTAACTTAAAATAAAGTTGCTTTTAAGCGCAAACTAAAGGTGTGTTTGTCATCCTTTAAAAATTAAATTGTTTGCTACTGTATCATTTCTCCACCACACATTCACGTAATAAAATATCCTACACACAAACCAATAAAATTTCTTTAAATTTTAACCACACATTCTCCAAGAAATACTATTTAAATTAAATTATTTGCTACAGTATCATTTATTCACCACACATTCACACAATAAAATATTCTACACACAAACCAATAAAGTTTCTTTAAATTTTAACCACACATTCTCCAAAAAATACTATTCAAAACTCTATTCTTTCTCCCATAATGGGAGACAAACAGGGGCTAAACATTGTTCACAATTTTTTTTTTTTTTTTTTTTTTGCTGCTCCATTTTTAAGTGCACTGGTTCTTTAGTATTTGCTAATTGTTGTACTTATTGAGCCACTTTTTTGTAGAAGGAAAATGAAAAATATAGTCGTTATTGAGGCCCACACAAAAGATGGAAAATTTGAATTTAAATGTTAATATGATGGATAACGGTCATATTTTTCATTTTAATGAAATAAAAAAGTAGTCCAAACCCCCGAATTGGAAAAAAATTTTATATGTTGTCATCTATCTTCTATAAATTAATGCATGTTTTAAAAGTGACAAATTCTGTTCATAATGTTCGTTGGGATGGAATAAAAAGATTTATTTGCTTCTCATATTTTAAATTTTTAAATAAAAGATAAACACATAAAAATGAGACAAAATAGTTGCCCTTCATTTCAAAGTGCTCTGTTTTAATTTTATTCTGTTCAGCCTGAATAGGTGAAAATTGGTGAACTTGGTTTGGCAACAATGGTTGGTACGAGCCACACATCACATTCACTACTCGGGACACTTGAATTCATGGCACCAGAGTTATAGGACGAGATTTTACACCGATTAAATTGATATATATTCATTTGGAATGTGTTTCCTAGATATGTTGACTCGAAAACTACATTATAGTGAGTGTGATATAATTGCCAAGATATACAAACAAAAGTTACATTAGGAGTGAGGCCTCAAGCCATGAACAAAGTCAAAGACACCGATGTGAACTCATTCATCCAGAAGCTCTTATTTAAGTGTCATTATATAAAAACTCAATTTTTTTTTCAAATTCGTTTTTAACTATATATTCTTCCAATAAAATATTTTACACGTAACCCAAAATTTTTTTCTACTTTTTCGGAGTGTGAACAGAACTTTACGTTCGTACAAATTTTATTTTATTTATTTATTTCATTGGAGTTAAATAAAGGGTAATTGGCGCAAAACGTCCCTACCTTTGCCTCTGTTTGTGGAAAACGTCGCTACGTTTGATTTTTTGACGCAGAACGTCCCTACCTTTGATATTTTTTGCGCAAAACGTCCTTTTCCCTAATTTTTAACATAAAATGACCGATATACCCTCCAATTGAAATAAACAAAAAGGAAAAGAAAAGAAAAATAAAGAATAAATTACAATTTGCTCCTAAACTTTTTTAAAATACAAATCAGTCCAAAACTTGTGAAAATATTAAAAAAAGAAAAAAAACTCTCCCCCATTCTACCCATCTCCCTCCTGAGCCTCCTCCACCTTCCGGCCACCTAAATTTGTGTCAATAGCTAAAAAGAGGCAAATCTCTCTTTTGCTTCTCTTCTACCAGCAAACACACAATCGAAGTAATGGACTATTTTTCAATTGAGAAGATCCAGTTATCTGGGGCCACTTTCGCCTCCCTCCTCCACCGTGCCTCCGCTACCATCGGCGACCTCCACGGCTACCTCTTCGGCCACGTTACCCCCTTCGACCCAAGTCCCCTCACCGACGACTCCACTACCTCCTCCGCCGCTACTGGTCCAATTCTCATCGCCACCATCACTTCCTTCATCTCCCTCCCCTCTCTTCCGCCGTCGCCACCTCACATGATCACCACCACCTTTCTCAGCTGGTTCTCCGCCCGCCGGAAAATTGCAATTCGCCCCTCTCTTAAAGACTCCACCACTACCCGCGCTCTTTCGTCCTCCACTTCTCATTCATTCACCCCCCTCCCCCCCAAAATTCATCTCTTTCTCTCTTTCTTCTCTTGACGACGCCGATTCAAGATCAATTAATTCACACCCATGAATACAAAACCTTTCAGTACCGCATTACTAATAAAAATTTCGAGCCCAAGAGCTTGAGTATAATTAACATTGGCCCATCTTTTCGTTCCCATTATGAATCTTTTAGCCCGAATGTGCCATTCCCTTTGGTTAATTGTGATTTGAGGGGCCCCAATGCAATGGAGGAGGATGAAAAGGTTGAGAGTTTGGGGGCTATGAAGGATCAGAAGCAACTGGATATGTGCGCTGACGGATTTGAGATTGGGAGGCTAAGTAAATTAGTTGGCTCCGAAGCTACGCATTTAACAGCTGAGTTGGAGGAATTTTATCATAAAATGCTTGCCAAGCTCGATGGGTTGTCAAAAGTGGTCGAACAGGGCTTTGCCAAAGTTCTGGAGCAGGTGAGAATGCTAACTAAGATTGAATATTCGGAACAGATTAAAAAATCAAATTCCAATATCTCAGAACCTGAGGCAATATATCTTTTTTAACATTGAGGGATGATTTCACATTTTAATGTGGCCGGAAGGTGGTAGAGCATCATGGAGGGAGAGGAGGAGAATGGGGGAGAGTTTTTTTTTTTGTTTTTTTTAATATTTTCATAAGTTTTGGACTGATTTGTATTTTAAAAAAGTTTAGAGCAAATTGTAATTTATTCTTTTTTTTTCTTTTTTTTTCTTTTTTGTTTTATTTCAATTGGAGGGTATATCGGTCATCTTATGTTAAAAATTAGGGAAAATGACGTTATGCGCCAAAAATATCAAAGGTAGAGACGTTCTGCGTCAAAAAATCAAACATAAGGACGTTTTCCACAAACAGAGGCAAAAGTAGGGACGTTTTGCGCCAAATACCCTTAAATAAAAGAATTGCAAATTGAGTCCCTGATTGGCCCTCGTTGAAATTTTACTGCATTTTTTTTCTTTCTTCTTTTTAATCACACATTCTCCAATAAAATAATATTACGCATAAATGAAAAAATGCTTATTTCTTTTTTAACTACATATTCTCTCAAAAATTACTATCCTAAAATACATTATTTCCTAATATCTCATTACAATGGGGCCAAACAAGCACTGAAACGACAAAATGGAGAAAAGGAAGTTGAGTGTCTGTTGGTATGTGTTTAACAACCTTTCACTACCGTTGACAGTCATGTTTGTACAGAAGAAAATTCTTGGCAGTATAAAAACTTTTTTGAAAAAAAAAAAAAAGGAAAGAATATATTTCAAGATTGAGTTTTGAATGATAATTCTAGAATTAAGTGCTATTTATTCATGATTTACTGAAATTTTGAATATATCTTGTTGATAATTTGAGCAGATTCAAGTAGCTCATGCATAATTTTCAAAATACTTAAAACATAATTAGTTTTGATATAGTAGAGCGTAATTTTGTAACTTTCGCTTTATTTTTTCTCCGCGAGTAAGGGAAAGGGATAGGTTTAGTTTTGCATATTTATTCGATGTAAGATTTATCATTATACATGCTTATGGCCTTACCATTCAAAAAACGAAGCGCTTCTCAATGGAAACAAAAATTAGAATTTTTGTTGTATGCTAAATTGCACAGATTTGAACAAAAAGTTGCTAATTAATTTCATTACACTATCTCTCGCCTTTCGTTTGGATTTTCTTTTTTAGTTGCTAAAATTATAAGATGGTAGAATGAACTGTGGATAAGTCAATCGTAGTGGATTCTACAAAATATGTGGATGGAATTATTGTTTTGAGTTTGAAAATAACTTTTTAGCAATTAGAAAGGAAATTCAAACGGAGGGCTTATCCGTGTCCAATACAGTTTACAAAACAAGTTAAAGCCAAATCAAGAAAAACGATTATTCATACGTGCCAAGTTCCAGGTGACCTACCTCGATCTCTCCTAGGTCTCCTTGTTTATGGGTTTGCCAACCAGAATCTCAAATGCTTTCTGGCATCATAAAATACCCTTTAACTACTATAATCCGTTGATTACTATTAGTTCAAGTAGTTTTCTGTACATAGCTATTTGTCTTATATTATGGACGTACTCGGCTGTTCGAGCCGAGACTCCCCTCAGCTTGCTCAGTCAGTCCATTCCGGCTCATAGCTTTTATGAATAAAGAATTGCAAGTCTTTTAAACCTCAAGCGTGTCGTTGGCTTGGACAGTCAATACATTTCATACCATATTGAACTACCTCGTCTAAAAACTTAAGTCATTTGATTATTGGTCGAGAGTGCGTCTAGCCTTGTTTACATCAAGAAAGACTCTCATTGGCCAGTTTTCATGGTGTTGCGACTTGGCATCAAATGGGTATCACAAAGAAATATTTGATGGATATGCTGTAAAAAACATTGGATATCTCAAGGAATGTTGATGCATATGCAGTCTTTGGAATTTACCTAAGGATTTTTTCTTATCAGACATAGAAAACATAGTGAGGAAATATCAGAAAGTTGTCTCTATACACAGCTTTGAGAATTTCAGAATTTTAATTTCCTGAACATCATATTCTCCATGTGTGCTTCGAGACTGCATGCAAGCATACTAATTCAATGGAATCCGTTATACTGATCCTGTGAAAAAATACGCTAGACATGTTTGATCATGCTTATGCACAGCAAAATGGATTTAGTGCTGCTTCTGAGGTTGCTGGTGAGTATTGCGTCTATTGCTCTACTTGGCACAAGCTGCAATGGAGGCCAGTTGTCGGAATCCACAACGTTATTAAATTTCATTCGTGCAGTCGACCCCGAAAATGTTTTGAGGATTGAGAGAAACAGACTAATGCCTGATCCCTGCTCATATAAATGGAAGGGTATTAAATGCAATTCAGGAGGCACCACCGTAATAGCAATAAGACTTCTGAATTTGAACCTTACAGGAATTCTTGATGTAGAATCTCTATGCAGTCTCCCAAATTTGGAAGTGCTTAGCTTATCCGGAAATAGCATTAAGGGAACTATTTCTGAGGCAATATCGAAGTGCGAAAGTCTAATATATTTAGACCTAAGCAGGAATTCTTTAAGTGGGAGCGTACCTACTGCTCTTACTAAGCTAAAGAATCTAGAGAGACTAGACATTTCACAAAATCAATTCATGGGTCGAGTTACAACCTTTGGATCCTCAAAAAGGTCATTTTTGTGCTTGAAAAATGCCCGTATAACCCAAGATTTGAAAGAAAACGGAGAATATTCGAGTGCAATTCAAGAAAATGTTCCTCGAAAAGCATTGTCAGAAAGCTCTCCTGATGCAAAGTCGCATAAAAATTGGGGTCTTTGGATAATTTTGGGTCTTGGAATTGTAATCCTTTTACTGGTGTTACTCTTTGTGATAATAAGAGCTCTTAAACGAGCACGAGAGAAAGCAGCGTCAGCTATTTCTTCATCGAAAAATCCTCCAATCAAAGCTGCGGACGAAGTGCAGCCACAAGAAAGAAAGTCAGAGCTCGTATTCTTTGTTGAACCTGAGGAAATGTTTAAATTGGAAGATCTTCTGGAAGCAACGACTGGCTTGAAAATGGAGGGGCTCTGCAGTAGCCTTTACATTGTGCAACTGGAGAACGATGCTATTTTTGCTGTCAAGAGATTGAAGAAACTGAGGGTATCCTTTGAGGTGTTTGACCAGACAATGAGAAAGATTGGAAACTTGAAGCATCCAAATATCCTTCCTCTGGTTGCCTTCCATTCTACTAATGAGGAAAAACTTCTGATCTACAAGTACCAAAGGAATGAGAGCCTGCTGACGCTGTTTGAAAGTAAGTTAATATATGGTGATTTAATTACATTTTAGCAAGTTTTCTCCTACTTAATGTTGTGGATTAGGCCCTGATAAACAAACAAAAACACGCAGAGCACACATAGACTTGTACTCGTTCACCCTCAAGTTGAGGGCTACATCCTTTTGTAGCTAGAGGTCGTCAAACTCGACCCCATTTCATTTTCCAACAGTACGCACTAACGAGCTTGCAAGCCACGAATGAAGTAAAACATGCAAACTTAAGGAGTTTGTTTGGATAATACATTTGATTTGACTTTGAACAATTCCTAAAACAACAATTTCTGATCAGAACTATCCTTTGCATGCATTCATAAGGCTAATTCTTTCCCCTCTGCAGACTATATTGAAGGCAAAAGAAATTTTCCATGGAAACCTCGGCTGTCAATAGCAGCTGGGATAGTAGAAGGTCTCAACTTCATATATCATCGGCCTGCTAATGACGAAATTATCCCTCATGGAAACATTAAACTTTCAAATATCCTCTTAAACGACGAAGAAGAACCACTTATAAGTGAATATGGATATTCAAAATTTTTTGATCCCAGTAGAGATTGTCTCTATAAGTCTAAAGGTCATACCGCCCCAGAGAAAAGTTTAACTGAAAAGTCCGATGTCTTTAGCTTTGGAGTGATTCTGTTGGAGCTACTAACTGGAAAAATTGTCGAAAACAATGGAATAGACCTTCCAAGGTGGGTAAAATCTATGGTGAGAGAGGAATGGACTGTAGAGGTCTTTGACAAAGAAGTTGCTGAGATTGAAATGTATGCTATTCCTCTGCTGAATGTTGCGCTGAAATGTGTATCACATCGCCCCAGGAAGCGGCCAACCATAGCTGAGGTTCGAGAGAAGATTGCCGAGGTCGTGAGTGCCGTGGAAGATCTTTCACCTTCGTCCGTGGCTTCCTCCGAATTCAGCCAACTGGATCGTCTTTCAATCCCTTCTGTGACACCAGAGACATAGTCTACCTCGGGATCAAAATCAAACCAGTGAAGTATGTGCATTATGGACATGTTTCGTAAGGTCGACTTGATAATTATGATAGTATTAATGAAGAAAGAAGTCAAAAATCTTATCTATTCTAGTATCTCATTTACTACAGGACCTCTATAAAGAACATCTATTAATAGGCGACCAAATCGCGGAAAGTGGCAAAACGGAGCTTGGCTCAACCAAGGCGCGTTCGTGCATGGGTTGTTCCCGGCCTTTCTTGAACCAGATTGGTTCAGCCCGTTTGACATCACTATGTTAATGTAAATTCTATAGTACATTATGTGCATAAAGCTGATACCTGAGTTGTTATCAATAATTACATTTCCTCGGACAAAATCACTGAATTTGAAGCAAAAGCTGGAAGCATTTTGTCATACGTATAATAATAAAGATCCAGCTGGAACATTAATGAGTCGCTTGCCACTAACTTGAATTTGGTAGACAGACATTCTAAAATCATGGAAATCTTGGCTGTCACCTCAGTCAGTGCTTCAAATGTAGACATGCCCACCTGTTGGAACTTATCATAATTCAAGATTAATAATGAAAGAACGAAAAGAAGAACATAAATACACATGCAAACACACAAATTTATAGAGGTTTACTTTCAGTATAAGAGATACATTTTTATATTTTCACTATAAGAAAACCGTCCCAAAAATAATTTACAAAATATTGTCAAAATTTCTTATAGTCCTCTTAGTGCATTCCTGCGACCATTCCCCTAATTATGCAGTAAAGTTTAGCCAATATCTCTTTCAATATAAAGTATAACTAATTCGTCACAAAATGTTTCATACTAAGAACCTAATTTAAAAATGAAAAGAAATCAAACCAAAAATACAATCATAATTGATTTTGTTAGAATTGGGTTTATGACCGCTTAAGAACAAATCATAAACTAACAAAATAGTGTTGTAGGAGTATTGAGAGTTGATAGCATACTTGAAGATGTCTTGAGGAGTCAAATGTGAATGGACTCCTATTTCATCCTAAATTCTACATTATTAGTTTTACTCATTGTATTGAGACTTCACTTTATATTAAATTCTTTATGTACTAAATGTCCTATTACGTTAATGATTCTTTGGTTATAAATATGTAATGTAGAACACAAATTGGAATTGACCAATTGTCCAATTAGTTATTGATCCAAAGATATCATTTATAACTCTTTACTATTGATTATAGTGAATTCTCCGTCTCTACCCGTGGTTTTCCCAAATTTGGGTTTCCACGTAAGTCTTGTTTTCTTTGTGATTCATTATTTTTATAATACTCATATTATTCTCGTATTTATTCTTTGGCTTAAATTTTCAACAGTTTGTGTATAGTAATTGTCGAGGAAAAGTGTGGAATAATCATCTGACAACACAGATAGATGTTATGATTTTTTTTCCTTTGTATTTCATTTTATTGAGCTTCGGTTTGACAAAGATTTTTGAGATTATAAATTGATTGGTCTCACGAAATTTGTGTTTAAAAGTGAATAAAAATTGTAAATTCAATAGGAGTATTGAGAGTTGATAGCAGACTTGAAAATGTCTTGAGGAGTCAAAGGTGAATTGACTCCTATTTCATCCTAAATTCTACATTATTGGCTTTACTCATTGTATTGAGATTTCACTTTATATTAAATTCTTTATGTACTAATTGTCCTATTATGTTAATGATTCTTTGGTTATAAATGTGTAATATAGAACACAAATTGGAATTGACCAATTGTCCAATTAATTATTGATCCAAAGATATCATTTGTAACTCTTTACTATTGTGTATAGTAATTGTCAAGGAAAAGTGTGGAATAATCATCTGACAACACAGATAGATGGTATGATTTTTTTCCTTTGTATTTCATTTTATTGAGCTTCGGTTTGACAAAGATTTTTGAGATTATAAATTGATTGGTCTCATGATATTTGTGTTTAGAAGTGAATAAAAATTGTAAATTCAATTAAATATGTTATTAAAAATTAAGTTTGATCAATTTATAATCCAAAAAATAAATAAATAAATAAATTTTCACATGAGCTTAATATGTTCAAGTGGAATAAGTTGAAAAAGGACATTCACACCACATGGAAGTGGCTTTAATAGAAAGTACAAGGCCAAAAACATCTTGATGTTTCTTTGCATGCTAAAGTAAAAGGCAGTCAAAAAAATTTGAATTTGTTGTGCATTAAGTGAATTAGTTGATAAATTTGAAAATCGACAATGAACTAGACGTCTTCACGAAACTAGTATGAGAAAGAGCGCTTTATTCAAAGCATTGCTACTTGAGCATCACTAGTCTTTTGTCGCTTATTTTCTTAATTTTTCAATTATTGAGTTTTGCTTGAATTTAAGCTGAGGTAAAGATTCAATTATGAATAATAAAAATATAAAAGTGATTTTTGAATAAGTGAAATTAAATTAGAGATGTATAAAATGTAATACCAACTAAATTTAAAGAAAATAGATATAACCAAAACTATACTTTTACGTTTTTAATTTTTACTCACTTACATTTTAAAATTTATTATAATTTTTGTTAATTTATTACACTCGCAAAGCTCATCATCTACCTTAGGCACCTTCTTATATTCTTACACCTTACGTCTGCCAAAGACTCACACACCTCGTTCTCTCTCTTGCAATATATATATAATAACTCTCCCTAATCTAGAGCTAGGTATTCCATTTCTTTTGATTTATTTGAAAGGAGTGGAATAACCGAGAAAAAGAAAAGGAAGAGAAGAAGAAAAGGATAAAGAGAGAGAGAGGACGTACGCATCCTCTGTTTTTATTTATGTATAATCTTTTTAGATCTTGGTTCAATCCGATTTTCCCATCTGGGTTCTCTCATTTAAATGGTGGGTTTGGAAATGAATTTATATATTTGATTAAAAATTCAATCTTTAATTCTGTTTCTGATAAATAAATAAAAATTATTTGAGGGTCTTTGATCTACCTGAATTGTGGATTTTCAGGATTGCAAGATTGAATCTTGATTGATGAATGAAGAATCCAATGATTTCAAAATAAATCCAACATTGCCTACTTGTTATTTTTTAAGTGTTGAGAGCTTGGGTTCCTGCCTGATTTTCTGGATAAGGTATGATTTTTCTTGTTCGTTGGATTTTTATCTGCACTTATCTATTCATTTTTTTAGGTTGGATTTTTTAAATATCTGTATTATGTGACTCGATTAATATATGGCGTGCAATTCCTCTTGTTCTTGAATTATTCACACATTTGCATGATCTGACTCTTCTTTGTGATTATCAGTTTATTGTAATCAAGTTCCGAGTTCAATTTGCAATAATTTTTGCTTTTATATCTATGCCGTTCGACTTTTTTCTTTGTAAATCATTTGGTTTGATTGAAGATTATTGAATTGTTTGGCAACTGAATACGGGATGCAGAAAAGATGGAGTTGGATCTAGGCAAACTGTTTATTGGTGGGATTTCTTGGGACACGGATGAGGATCGTCTTAAAGAATATTTTGAAACATATGGAGAAGTGGTGGAAGCAGTCATCATGAGAGATCGCACCACGGGTCGTGCTCGTGGCTTCGGTTTTGTAGTTTTTGCCAAGCCAGCAGTGGCTGAAAGAGTGATTAAGGAGAAACACATGATTGATAGACGAGTGGTAAGTATTTTGGTGCTTATACCTTACAGATTATAATCCTTCGATAATGTAATGTAGCAATATGCATTGGCCAATATTAGCTATTTTCGAAGTTCCTTAATGCCATTGTGCTTAAATTAGATAGAATTCAAGTCTTGTCATCTTAATAATGGGCAAAAGGTTAAGTACATACAGCTTTTTAGTTGAAATGTAGAATGATAAGTTTCCTCTCCTTGGACTTCCGAGGTCCTAAGTTTTGATTCTTCATGAGTTGATAAAATGGAAATTGTCTTCTCTATGTAGACTGTTCACTGTCTTTCACCTTTTCAGGTGGAAGTAAAGAAAGCCATTCCAAGGGATGATCAACATTTAATAAATAGAAACATTAGTAGCATTCAAGGATCACCGGGTCCTGGACGCACAAAAAAGATATTTGTAGGAGGATTAGCATCAAATGTCACCGTGAGTGACTTCAAAAGTTACTTCGATCAGTTTGGTACAATAACAGATGTCGTAGTAATGTACGACCACAACACCCAAAGGCCAAGAGGTTTTGGCTTCATAACATATGATTCAGAGGATGCAGTTGATATGGTGTTGCGCAAAACCTTTCATGAGTTAAATGGTAAGTTGGTCGAGGTAAAGCAGGCACTTCCAAAAGAATTGTCACCGGGACCCAGCCGGAGTCCTCTCGTTGGGTACAACTATGGCTTTAGTAGAACCAGTGACTTACTCAGTAGCTATGCTCAGGGATACAATTTGAGCTCACTTGGAGGCTATGGGGTCAGGATGGATGGTAGGTACAGTCCATTAGCTAATGCTCGTGGAGGATTCTCACATTTTGGTTCTCCTTCTTATGGGATGGGTATGAATGTGGAGCAAGGGTTGAATCCTGGCTATGGAGGGGGTTCAAACTTCAATAGTAATCTTGGTTATGGACAGGTTCTGAACCCCTATTTTGGTGGTAATCCAAACAGGTATAATACTCCTATTGGTTACAACACCGATAGTAGCAGGGGTGATTCCTTTATAAATTTACCATCTAGAAATGTGTGGGGAAATGGTGGCTTGAATACTTCTCCAACTAATGCTGGCTCTGGTTCGTACTTCGGTTCTGGAAGTGGTGGACTCGGAGTCTTTGGAAATAATGGAGCAAACTGGGGAACTTCTCCTATTGCTGCCTCACTTGGAGGGACTTCTTCTGGCTACAGGGGTGGAGAAAACAGTTATGCAGTGGGAACAAGAGGATTTGGACGAAAGAGTGGTACTGGTGTAATCACAACGTCTTCATTCGCCACATCGAGTGGTGGTTATGAAGGATCTCATGGGGATTTTTATCGCAGTTGTTCGGTTTATGGCGATCCAACTTGGCAAACTGCATCTTCTGACCTAGATAATTCTGGTTCATTTGGTTATGGACTTGGAAATCCAGAAGACGTCACTGCTATAGCTTCTGAGGATTATGGCACTGGCTATAGTATTGCAAATAGACAACCTAAAAGAGGTAATACTTCTATCTTATTTTAAATTTGCAAATACGTTATTTCTAAGACTTGACGAAAATGCTGTATGCCTATTCTAAGCTCATCTTATTAAACTAGACTTGGATGATTAAGACACTTTTTTGATGCAAATCATTGTCTACGTCTGTTAATTTGACAATAAATTCGTTAGTAATAGGAGTTCCTTTCATAGAATTTGTAATTGTTTCCCTTTTTTATTTATAGTTTTCTGATATACCAAACATCAAAGTTGTAATGAGTTTGAGAAAAATGAATTTTAGGAAATTGGGGGCCAAACAGGATTTTAATGTGTCCCTTGTATGATCTTACAATAATCCTGCATAAGTGCTCGTGCTTGTAGGAGTTGGTTAGTAATCTCTAAAGAAAACTCAAATTCTGTATATCTTTCAACGTGTGAATAGTTTCATCTTTTACCTTTTACAGGAATTGCTGCTTAGGAAACGTAATTATCAGATATCCGAAGATAATCATTGGAGAAGAGAATTCAGAATTTCTTACATATTCCTCATAGCTTATAATGACATCACTATACGGAGCTAACAATGTTCTTGTTCAAAGCATACATCTTCAGACAAAGCAGTTTCGAGGGATTTTGTGAAGATTTGAGATTTGGTTTCTACGTGTAACTTAGGTTCCTTTAATGTAAATCAGATTGCAGGATACATTATGGAAGATCCATTCTAGTTTACTTTTTGAGCATCTCTTAAACAAGACAGTTCCATTGGTACAACATAAAGTAGGGAATTTTTTTTCTTTTATATTCTCTTCTTTTTCACTCTTCGCCGGCCCTATGCTAGTTTTTACTACATTTTCGATTTTTCTCAGATTGTATGTGAGCTTCTATTTGATGTACTAGCGTGATTAGGTTCTCCCTTTTAATAAAATACTGAATATTTGATTCGTTTTAGTCGAAATTCTGTATGGTACGATATTGATTCTAACACCATAAATTGATTTAAATTTACGATTCATTACTTTTGTTCACACATTCTTTAGCATGACAATGGTTGTTGAAGTACAAGGAAATAGGTTAAGTGCTTGTTTGGTATGAATTTTTGGGGGAAAAATTGATTTTGAGTAGTGATATGATGGGAAATGTGTGGTTGAAAAAGAAGAAAAAATTATTGATTTGATGGAAAGTATTATTTTATTAAAGAATGTGTGGTTGAAAATGAAAATTGATTTACTGTAGGAATTCTCAAAATCAGAAACAAATACCCCTAAATTTTGTTGTGTACCATAAAAGAGAAGGGACGAGCTGTTTATGGGAAGAGGAGAGCCGTAGGCGTAATTTGTGGGCACAGACAGGACCCGTTCCGTATGTGTCGGATTTGTTATTAAAAATTTTAAAGTTACAAAGATTGAATAATTTATTTTTTTTACAGTCCAAAAACAAAAAAAAAAATTCATAAAAGAATGTTGTCCACAGACCTTTTCCTCTTTTTCTCCCCCACCATTGAATTCTTTGACTCTTCCTCGTGGAAAGAGACATTTTCGGCTCTATTTCCTAATATACAACCCAATATGAAAGAACATTCAAAAATCCCTTCGCTTTATGAAAAGGTATAAAACGAGTTGAGTTCTATTACTTTTAAAATGACATGATCAGTGTTTTTTGTGAGTCAAGACTACAAGCATGATGGAACCTACTTTCACAAATAGGACAGCACACAGCCCTGAGGACGAGTTTTCTTGCACCAGGTTAACAAACCTGGACGGCCGTCATAGTCCAGCCCACTCTGACATCGCTACACATCGCTCATGAATGTGCAATAGGTTGAATCGAGATTCAAACTGCATACTTTCGTGTAAAATTTCAAGCAAACGAATGTCGATCGAGATTAAAACACTTGCGCAATGATATAGACAACGTTATCTTTCAACTATGCAAGCACGGTGAAGGATTCTGGACAGACGAACCCTTTGCCAGTGGAAATGTTATCAAGCAGCCAAATAAAAATAATGGATAGTTTTGCCTAATGTGATAAACCCTTCAAACACCACTGAAGGTTGATAGTCATAATGATATATCACTACAAACACAGAGAAGAGGATCTATACTGCAGCGTCCCTTATCGTGCAAAGGATCGAGTCGAGGGCAAAAGTTGCAGAAGTTCAAGGACAGATCTCGAAAATATATAATGACTAACTCAGAAAAAAGCTTTTTTCCATACAAGTCTATTGTCCTTGATCCATCATCTAAAGCATGGGCGTACAATAATGACCTATGCAATAAACTTGTAGTATGTTTGATAAGGTGGATTACATAATATTAGAACATCAAGAATGACAAGAAACTAAAATCTTGTTCATTGTACAGTCAACTATATCTAAAATATTGAACATGCAAGTAATGTTATAAAAGCACCAGTCTCGATTAGGATCACTATGTTATCTGGGTACTATAAACCATCAAACGGAAGCTCAGAAGAAAGCTCTACTCCCGTAAAACACTCTAGAGCCAGAGTTATTAGATGGTGTTTTCTGATCCAAACTCGAATCGCCAGAGCTGGTTGGCTGGTTTTCAAATTCTCCTGGAAGCTTCATCTTGGCCAGAGACTCGGTAAATTGCTGCATGCTCTTCATGTACATATCCACAATGTCTTGCTGCACCACCTTTGGCTCTGGTTCAATGTTTGCAATAACAACAGGCTTTGCAAAAGTATCATTTGGTAGTCCCCTCAAAGCATTATTCTCAGCATCTCCAACATCAGCACTTTTCTCCTTCCGATTATCTTTAGGAGGTGACAAGTATTCTTCATTTGGAGATTTTGAGTCTCCAGGGGTGTCAGAAGACTGAAGTGAAGCAGATGGAGTTTCATTCTTTGATACACTGCCTCGAGGAGAATCGTGCTTTGAAAATGGTGTCAAACTGATGGTGCCTGTTGAGAAGCTTTCTTCAAGTTGAACGCCTACATCTGAGCTTACGTGATTTTCAGTCCCAGAGGTGTCCAGGTTGTCTGAACTATGGGTGTCGTCCAGATTCGTATTTCGGATCTCAAAATACTCGGAAACCATCTGATGATTCTCATTCACTACCTTCGGATCTGGGAACTCAATCTTGTCAAAGTCACTCGGACGCGATTCCTGTGATTCTGTGTCCTCTACAGCTGCATCTGCAGCCACAGATGCGGACGATGCAGGATTTGGAATCACTTCCGGTGAAGCTCCAACATAGGAGAGAGCTAACTGAACAAAACCCGCTGGGGAATGGAAGAGGTCAGTTGAGGAGAGTGAAAACTCCTTCTCTAACTTCCCATTGTTAAGGAAGATTTCAGACAGAGGAACCAAAGCAAATCCCAAAAGTTGATCTTCGAGATAATTTCTCACCCTGCTCAGCATCCATATCTCACATTTGAGGGAGGAATCGACTTTACGAACATCAAGTCGGAGATTCTCATTAAAGATGGGATTTCTGCCACCACCATTAATGATCTTAGTGGAGACTGTATTTTCAGGATCAGCGGTAAGACTAAACTTAGCATAAACATCTTGCTTTTGGTAGATGCAGATGTTATGAATATCCCTAGCCTGATTTATACGAACCTCCAAAACACCAAAGAAGTCTTCTATATTACGAATTGCGGTTTCCTTTCTTTGACGAGCAATTCCCCTTGATAAGTAGCTAGGGTTCTCTGCGAAAAGATTGGTGTTCTGCTTCTCAGGCTCAGAGAAAATTGAAGAACTCTTGAATGGTGACACAACTGACTGCGGGGAATCCATGACGATCTTAGAAATTAACCTGCAAAAAAACAAGAGACCAAGTTTCTTGAAAAACCTAGCCACTCTAAATTGAACCTTAAATGAAACCTTGCGACATTTTATAAGCTGTGTGGCATGCAAGATTGATTAACAAGTTTCGCTGCTGCATATTTATCAAAATTGTGCACTGTGTTACACAAAATGAATATGGTCAGCACGTCGGGGGTAGATTGAAGACAAAATTTATATGAATACGTAGCCCCTATCTAACCACTTACTTTTTTTGGATGAGATGGTTAATAAAGCGTAATAACATAATTAAGTACTATAATTAGAATGAATAAATGCCTGGAAGTACCGCCTCCTCTATTTATAAAAAAAAAAGTTACTGTAATTAGAAAAAGCGTCTCTAACTTCAACACTTCCCACTCTCATAAAAGTTCTAGTACCAAAGACTTCTCCCCTCACAAAAAGCGAGTTAATAATTACTATGATTCTCAGAACTGAAAAGTTAAAGAAGCCTAAATCACTGCAGAATATTATAACTTAACAGATCGACATAACGATCTTTAAACAGAATTCACGTTTTAGAACCGCGTGATATGATGATCCAAGCCCCGGATCAAGAAGCTAGAATCAGCTGGAGAAAAGAATTCGAAAATTGAGATAAATAAACTAGTTAACAACCAGAAATTCAAGTAAACTGGTCGCAACAAAGTATGGATAACACGTTGGAAGCTAAGCAAGGGAAAATCATTCAAAGACTTACGAGAGAAAAATTGGGAAAAGCTCATAAATTAGAGACCTTAATATCAAAAATTTAGGTGTCTAAATTTATAAGTCCCAGTTGCCCAATTCACAAAGAAGCAACACTTATCTACCAATCATCAACAATCACCTCAAGCAAAGCTTAATAAAAAGAAGATTTCAGAAATCCCAAAATAGAGGCCACTCCTATGCTTGATTTGATAAGAAGACAACTTTTAACCTCGAAATTAGGCAAAAGCCATTAGCAGTTGAATCAAGATAACGCCACATACCAATAAAGTTAACACCCATTTTCCAACCCAAAACAGCGAGTCATTAACACGAATCTCTCGCAAATCGAAAAAGAAATCAAACACCAACTTCAGTCTTCAGCTCAATTAAAAAAAACAAAAGAGAAAGCAGCAGAGAAATCAAAGCAAAAAACATAAAGGGATTAAAATAGTTTCTTGCCTCTAACTCCAAAATCAAGCAAATTTGGCAAAATCAGAATATTCTCCAATGCTAAAGACAACCCGATTAGCAAAACGAGGCAATTTAAAGGAAACCCAGCGCTTAATGTCAGTACTAAGGATAAATCTATGGAAAAATGAATTAGAAGTCCCTAACCTTTTCAAAAAAGGAAAATGGGTCCCAACACTTTTATTTTTTGCTGTAAAATCCTAATGTTTGTGAAAATAAGCTGTTCAAGGACCTTTGAATAGTTTTCTCCCAAAAAAAATCCAGTAGGCGCGTGAACAGAACATTCTCTACTTTTTAAGGATAGAATAGGTAAACAACATTTAATAAAATAATTAATAAACAAATTTGAGGATAGTCGTCAATGGCTAAATTAGGTTGTAACTAATCGTGTTGAATATTGATCGTTCTATTAGTATCGGTAATTTTTTTCCTTCTTTTTTCGAGCATTGTGGGAAATCTTAGTTTTCGCAAAAATACTTCGTAATTGTTCAATTCAATAATTGTATCTTTTTTCTTTTTTTTTTTTGTTATGCATTGTTTGAGTAATAGCATGATGTTGAGCAGAAATACGACGAATTCATCAAATATAGAAGCCAGAAAATTAATAAGTTGTTTTGTTTTTTTTTTTTAGTAAAATGGTCTCTTTCAATCTTTTATTTCAACTGTTTTAATTATTTTAATTCTTTAAAATGGGAACAGGTGGAATATTATTTTTAACATTTTCAAAAAAATAATAAAACTTTGAAGGGCATGTTTGATTTGGATTTTTCATGGAAATTGGAAATCGAATCCCATCTTCCCAAAAAATGTTGTTTGATAACCAAAATTTGCCATGGAAATTATTTTCTTGATTTGGCTCACACGGTTACCATTTCCTTGGTTTTGTGGTCCATGTTACTTTTTTCTTTTTATTGGCGATGAAAACAAATTCTATGGACAATTGTAAAAAAAAAAATCCCTTTAATGGATAATTTCCATGAAAAATAAAATCAAACGAACACCAAAAAATCCAAAATTTCAACATTTTCTAGGTGAAAAATTATACTTATCAAACACAATTAATTGATAATTCCCTGAAATTATTCAATTCCCTAAAATTCATTTTCTTTCCATACAAATTCCACTCTCGTAATCAAATGGATCCTGAGGCTATGTTTGATAGCCATTATTTTGCCTAAAATTAGGAAAATAATTTCCATTTTCTCCAATTTGGCTTGTTTGATAGCCAATAATTTCCTTAGAAAGTGTTTTCCCACCTCATTACTCATGCACCCAATTTCCTTAAAATGAGGGAAAAGGTCCGACGTCCATTTTTTTTTT